TGTAGTAATTCAATGGAACAAGGATAGCAGAGATCATAGGTACAATGACCAAAAAAACTGTAAGCATACTGAAGTTTCAACAGTATAATTTATTATTCCAAATTGTATATTCATACAAATAAACATGATACACCCATGACCAGTAATAGTATTAAAGATAAGTTCTGACATGGGCAAAAGCTAAGAAAAAGAAAACAAGCTACAAAATAGTATGATTCCAATTTTTAATCCATATACAAAAACATGCACATACAGAGAAAGAGAAGCACCTACACCAATGTGTTAAAAGGGCTTTTTCTGGGGCAGGAGAATGAATTTTTTTGTTTGATTATCTGACTTTTCCTCATTTTCTAGTGTTTCAACAATGAATATTTATTTTTTTAAGTTATTAAATAAAATATTCACCTAAAGACATTAGATTATAATGTTTCAGTGATTAATATCTAAACTTGAATAATGACAAATAGATTCAGATGTGGACCAATATAGGGCATGAAGAAAAAATAACACATAAAATAAGAAAAGGATAAAGAAAGAAGGCAAAGATATAAAGAGAGCAAAGACAGAGATACTTCTCTTAACATGATCTAGCTTAGTATTTCACTAATTCCCTTACAGGTAGGAATAAATTAAATATCCAAACCAATCTGTATATCATTTGTAGCTTCTTACCTGTATATATCTGCTGAAATCAAGTATTTCATGATATAATTCACTTCTGTGTGTTCACTATATTCCCAATTTACTATGTCTATTGTCACTGTAATGTTCCAAGTAAAAGAGCCCTTTTGGTATTGTTAACTTGATCAGATGACACAGGATAATTACCATCAAGAGTTTAGCATATCAAGTGGGCACACCTGGTAGGGAACAGCCCTAATGAAAGGACTGCACCTGAATAGTAAATTAAACTACACCTTACACAGTTATATGCAAATAGCTGAGACTTGAACAAACCACTATTATTTATTTCTTAGCATGTGACAGGGATTGTGTTAGGTGCTAGTAAAAGTACTGCAAGAGTTCAAGAGGCCAGTTAAAGGACTTTTAAACAGATACACACAAAATACTCCTTAACATTGTGGGGTTTTTGCTGTTTGTAATGTATGTGATGACACATTAAGCTTGACCTCTGCCCTGGATTATAGTAACCTTGTAAAAGCATTTGTAATATTTAATTTCAACTTTTCAGTCTCTCCTTAGTTCCCAATAACAAAATGTTATCCAAGGATGCGACAGCTTCAGATAGTGTCAGTCTTTACCTGCTGCCTAAAGTTCAATCAATACCTGAAGTTCAATCAACACCATTCCTCTCCATTTGCTGACAACTGGAGGAGAAATTGCTTCACAGACTCAGGCTGAGACATAAAGAAATGGCCAAGGACCATTTTGAGCAGTGACCTTTAGGTTCTGCAGATATAAAACTAAAACAAAAGTGGCTAGAGTTAGCTAGGTCAGGGACTATAGACCTCCCTGACCCCTCTCCCGCAGAGCAACCACTTCTGATTTCTGTTTGGAGGCACATATATTTATGCTATTGCTTTTTTCCACTTAAGCTCAGGAGGCAACTTACTTCTTTAAGTTCTGCATATCATTTTGTCTCTATAGTAGTATCCCGGCATTGCTTTAGCAGCATCAGACTCCTTGACCTAAATTACTGTAATCTCTTAATGACTATTCATTCTTAATGACTATTTCTGTCCCAGTTGGAAACCAATGAGTTTATATGGTCATAATGAGAAAAATATCTAATATTGATTTCACCAAAATTTGTGACAAAAAGGATAGCAGGAAGAGAAGAATCTGTGTTGGAAGCAAAGGGGTTTAAAAGTTAAATATTCATCTTTCATAACAGAAACACAATCTATAATTTCTAAAACTGAAGAATCAAGAACCACAAGTATAATGGTGTTATTTAAAAATATGGTGGCAAATACTAGGAGGCACAACAAAAAGAATGCAAAGTCCCTTGGAAGCAGGACCTAAGGCAGAGAAGAAATGATCACGGGAAGTGTCCGATACTTTTCACTGTAAGTCTTAGAATATTATTCATTTTACAAACACACCACATACATGACATGCTTTGATTAAAATAGAAATTTAATTTTAAAAATTATTAACTCATTCATGTATTCAAAGGCCATACAGTCACAGTTACTTTTAGCTTTTCATACTGCCCATGGGGTTCTGCAAGGAGATCAAATCAGTCAATACTAAAGGAAATCAACCTTGAATATTCATTGGTAAGACTGATGCTGAAACCAAAGCTCCAATACTTTGGCCACTTGATGCAAAAAGCCTACTCATTGGAAAAGAACCTGATGCTGGGAAATACTGAAGGCAAAAGGAGAAGGGGGCAGCAGAGGATGAGATAGTTAGCATCACCAACTCAATAGACACGAATTTGAGCAACTCCGGGAGATATGGAGGACAGAGGAGCCTGGAGTGCTGCAGTCAGTGGGGTCGCAAAGAGTCAGACAGAACTTGGTGACTGAACAACAATAACTTTTACCTTCATAAAACATTCTTATCAAATAAAAGCTTACTATAGATCAAGTTATCTGGTTTCATCTTGTGCTAAAACTAGTTCTAACAGTATGAAATCTTGAAACTGTCATGCATACTCTAATATTATCCTTGGTCAACCACATCTTTGATGCCAGCTGCACACCCAATCAAACATCTAAAGTTACCAAATGACTCCAGAGTTGGTGCCCTGGTTACAAAACACTAGCCAGCTGCAGGAAACATGGAAGGGAAAAAGTTATGCCTTGGCTACTGAGTATAATCCATGCTCAGTGTTAATGATACTATGTGAGTCCATAAATTATAATGGCTAACGCTAGAACATTAACACCACCCAAAAACACACTCGTAAGCAAGCCAGCATGGCAAAATGAGGTCATGGAGAAGCTTAAAGCTATTTTAGGATATATCGTGAACACCAGTATAACTCCTCTGACACCACCTGCTCTCATTTGGAGGACTATATTTTTAAGTCCCCCAACAGCAACTGGGCTCCAACCCAGTGCTGACTCTACAGTCCAGTTCAGGATAAATGCTGTCCTGTTGTTAGGTGTTGACCTTTAAATGAGACATTTAAATCCCCCTGCCAACATTCCCCACCTTCTGCTTAATTGGCACAGTATAAAAGATATGGCTGAGAGAGTATTCAACAGTGGTCATAGCTGCTTCCATATTATCATAGTAATAGAAGCATGTGATTTATTCCTTTGAAAAAAGAGTTGGACGATATAATCTAACATAATAAATCATTCTTGCTGTGAGGATCATGGTGGCATCAGGAAAGCAACCTGCACTCACATTAGGAATTTACTTATTCTTTTCAAAGAACTATTCTGGCCCCACAATGAAATCAAGACTACTTAACTTATGTTAGTGTCTGGGACGAATACCTGACTTCATATATGATTTTTGTTAGTAAACTCCAAAAAGGAATTATGTCCAAATTTCTTTCAAAACCATAATTCCCAAGTGTTAAAAGGTTGGTAAAACTTGGTTTTCAAAGCCATCAGAGTAACCCTTAATAATTAACTTGAAAGTCACTTTAAATAATTTGCAATTCAAAATATAAATTACTGATATTACCCTTTGGAGTGGAGAGGAATTGGCTGTCAAAAGTCAAAAATTAAAGGCTTTTAATACAATGATTTCCAATCATTTCCTTCTTGGTATATTTCATGAATGCTCCTAGACTGTAGAAAAATGAATATGTGTTGGTTTGCAGAGTTTTAAAGTACATATAATGTGTTTATCCTGGGCTCAAACAAAACTTCTGACTTCTCAATCTGTTTTCTCCCAATCCTAATACATTATCCCTATCCCCCTTAGTTCACAGTAAATGTTGAGGACAAGAAGTTTTGTATACAAAGAACAGATATATTAATTAATATTAATCTAAAGTCATCCTTACTACTGATGACATGAACAGTTTCTATCATTATTGAGAAATAACAGTTCTTTAAATTAAACCAATATTAATTGCACACTTTCATTTTTCAGGCAATATGATAAGCAACAGACATAACTGGATATGGTCCCTAACCCAAGAACTTTTCACTTTCTACCTTCATTGTTCTTCCTTGTTTCTAAAAATATTATTTAGAGAAACACAAACTCAGTAATACACTCAAAATGTAATCACATATCCTAGTTTGCTTTTTGCAGCCCTGGACAGGTTGGCTGGTGAATGATGGTGATCAATGCACAACAAAAATGAAATTTGCAGGTTAGACCTAGATATCCACCAACAGATGAATGGATAAAGAAGCTATGGTAGATATATACAATGGAATATTATTCAGACATAAAAAAGAGCACATGTGAGTCAGTCCTAATGAGGATGAACCTAGAGCCTATTATATAGGGTGAAGTAAGTCAGATAAACAAATACTGTATACTAACGCACATATATGGAATCTAGAAAGATTATACTGATGAACCAATCTGCAGAGCAGCAATGGGGACACAGATATGGATATGGCTGGTGGCGGGGAAGGAGGAGAGGGTGGAATGTATGGAGATAGTACCACGGAAACATGCATTACCATACGTAAAATAGATAGCCAGTTGGAATTTTCTGTAGGACTCAGGGAACTCAAACCAGGGTTCAGTAACAACCTAGAGGGGTGGGATGGGGAAGAAGGTGGGAAGGATGTTCAAGTGGAGGAGACAGAGGTAAATCTATGGCTGGGAGTAACATTGTAGCTGCCGCCGGCCGATGGGGCGCGCCGGGGAGGGGACGCCGCACCCTCTTTCTTCCGCACGGACCCCCCCGAGCAGAACCCCAGAGGGAAGAGGCGCCCGAGGACCCACCCCGGCCCTGTCCACGTTCCTCCCCAGGAAGCCGGACTCTATGGGGCGGGACCCTGGGGGAGACTGAGCAGAACCTAGAACCAGCGCTGAACCTCTGAACCCCGAGCCAGGGGCGCCCCGGGAGCACCTAGCTCGTGGGCGCTCCGCCCGCCCGCCGAGCAACCATGAGCGAGACGGTTGTGTGCACCAGCCGGGCCACGGTGATGCTCTACGATGACAGCAGCAAGCGCTGGCTGCCCGCCGGCACGGGCCTGCAGGCCTTCAGCCACGTCCAGATCTATCACAACCCCACCGCCAACTCCTTCCTCGCACCGGGGAGGGGACGCCGCACCCTCTTTCTTCCGCACGGACCCCCCGAGCAGAACCCCAGAGGGAAGAGGCGCCCGAGGACCCGCCCCGGCCCTGTCCACGTTCCTCCCCAGGAAGCCGGACTCTATGGAGCGGGACCCTGGGGGAGACTGAGCAGAACCTAGAACCAGCGCTGAACCTCTGAACCCCGAGCCAGGGGTGCCCCGGGAGCACCTAGCCCGTGGGCGCTCCGCCCGCCTGCCGAGCAACCATGAGGGAGACGGTTGTGTGCACCAGCCGGGCCACGGTGATGCTCTACGATGACAGCAGCAAGCGCCGGCTGCCCGCCGGCATGGGCCTGCAGGCCTTCAGCCGCGTCCAGATCTATCACAACCCCACCGCCAACTCCTTCCGGGTGGTCGGCCGCAAGATGCTGCTGGACCAGCAGGTGGTCATCAACTGTGCCATCGTCCGGGGTGTCAAGTATAACCAGGCCACCCCCAGCTTCCACCAGTGGTGTGACACCCGGCAGGTCTGGGGCCTCAACTTTGGCAGCAAGGAGGATGCCACGCAGTTTGTCAACGGCATGGCCAGTGCCCTAGAGGCCTTGGAAGGAGGTGGGCCCCCGCCCCCACCACCACCTACAGCGCCTCCCACCTGGTCTGCCCAGAATGGCCCCTCCCCAGAGGAGATGGAGCAGCAGAAAAGGCAGCAGCAGTCAGAGCTCATGGAGCGCGAGCGCAGAGCCTCCAACGCAGGAGGACCGCCTGCTCCCCCAGCTAGGGGACCACCATCACCCCCAGACCTCCCCCTCCTCCGGGTCCACCTCCACCCCCTGGGCTCTCCTCCTCAGGGGTCTCGGCCGTCCCACAGGGAAAAGGGGGAGGCCCACCCCCGGCACCCCCTCTCCCCACAGCACAAGGGCCCAGTGGTGGAGGGACTAGGGCCCCCAGCCTGGCCTCAGCCATTGCCGGCGCCAAACTCAGGAAAGTTAGCAAGCAGGAGGAGGCTTCAGCGGGGCCCGTGGCCCCCAAAGCTGAGAGCAGTCGAAGCACAGGCGGGGGCCTCATGGAAGAGATGAACGCCATGCTGGCCCGGAGAAGGAAAGCCACGCAAGTTGGGGAGAAACCCGCCAAGGATGAATCTGCCAATCAGGAGGAGTCAGACGCCAGAATCCCAGCCCACAGTGAATCTGTGCGGAGACCCTGGGAGAAGAACAGCACAACCTTGTCAAGGATGAAGTCGTCTTCTTCAGCGACCACTTCCGAGGCCCACCCTGCTACGCCTAGCTCCAGTGACGAGTCAGACCTGGAGAGAGTGAAACAGGAGCTTCTGGAAGAGGTGAGGAAGGAATTGCAGAAAGTGAAAGAGGAAATAATTGAAGCCTTTGTCCAGGAGCTGAGGAAGCGGGGTGCCCCCTGACCACAGGGCCCCAGAAAATCCAGTTTCTCCTTTCTGCACACCCCCTCCGCCTGTCACCCTGCTTTCCCTGCCTCGACTTGACTTGGAATTGGCTGAAGACTACACATGAATGCATCTTCCCCACTCCCTGTGTCACTTGGAAAATTCCAAGGGGGTGTGGCTTCCCCAGCACCACGCCCACACCCATATTGGCTGCTGATTGGATGGGAATGCCCCCGCCCTTTGTTCCCTTTGGTCCTTCCCCTCTGCCATCCCCTTGGGGCTGGGTCCTCTGCTGGGGATGTACCAAGTAACCCCACAGTAAGGGGGAGGGAAGGAGGGAATTTCACATTCCCTTGTTGTAGATTCACTTTAATGCTTAATGCCTTTGAAGTTTTGTTTTTTAAGAAAAAAAAAGTATATATATATATATATATATATATATATATTTAGGTTTGTGGGGGGGAGGAAATTTTTTTTTTCTCTTTGGTTTTGATAAAATGGGGTGTGGGAGTTTTTAAATGCTGTGCCCCTGTCTTGTCCCATTTAGGACAGCTGTGTATTGTCCCACCAGGCTGGGGGTGCCTCCCCCTACCCCAGGGACCTCCCTGCCTTCCTTCTGGCTCCTTCCCCTTTTCTATGAGGAATTAAGATGCTGTAACTTTTTGGAACCTCAGTTTTTTGGTTTTTTATTTGGGTAGGTTTTGGGGTCCAGGCCATTTTTACCCCCTGGGGAGAAACAAGATAAGGGGGAAAGGAATAGGAGAGGAAACTTCTCCTCTTACCTTCACCTTTAGCTTCTTGGAAATGGGCCCCTGTGGAATAAATCTGCCAGTTTTTATAAAAAACATAAATAAATAAATAAATAAAATAAACCTATGGCTGATTCATGTTGATGTTTGGTAGAAACCAACACAATACTGTAAAGCAATTATCCTTCAATTAAAAATAAATAAATTTTAAAAATGAAATTAGTAGGTTAGGCTGAGGTTATAGTCACGTATCTGGAAGGCTAGGGAACGCTTAACTTATTTTTCATTATTCATAATACAGGACAAAAGTGAGAGCCAAACATAATAAGACATCCAAAATATGAGGTAGAACCATTTAAACATCAAAGGAATATTGATTAAATAATTTAAACATATAATGTCTCAAGAAATGTATATAAACCACAGAAGTTATACTGACAAACACCACTTTTGAAATGAATCCCTGGTATAAAATTCACTAGGTCAGCTAGTGAATCTATCCTTGAACACTGCCAGTGAGAAAGAATTTCCTTCAGGTATTATCCATTCTTCTTATTGATGCCATTTAGAGACACATTTTTAAAGACACCCCTCTCCACCACCACCCGAACCACTGCAATCAAAACAATCCCCTCCTCCACATGCGCCAATATTACTGAATTTTGAGTCCACATGTACCTAGAACTCTCTTCCAAGAATACTCAAGTCTACCTTTGTTATTCATAAAGCCTAGAACATATAAATGGACCCAAAACTACAGATGTATCTGTACAAAGAGGTAGATTAGGACCATCACATCCTTTAGTTGAGATAGTATAAGAGATGTGCATGCTTAGTCACTTCAGTTGTGTCCAACTCTGGGTCGGGAAGATCCCCTGGAGAAGGAAATGGCAACCTACTCCAGTATTCTTGCCTGAAGAATCCCATCAACAGAGGAGCCTGGTGGTCTCCAGTCCATGGGGTCACAAAGAGTTGGACACAATTGAGCAACTAACACTTTCTTCCACTCATAGTAAGAGGGCATATACCCTATCCTAGGTACTTTTCTACATACTGGGGGTATAAAATTATTTTTTAAAAAGGCCTTCTAGTATGGGTGAAAGGAACACTAAAAAAATCTATAGTCCTTACCAAACATCAAGATATTATAGATGGAGGGGCCTGGTGGAGCTTCCCCGAGGCTGGGGGGCATAGTGCAAGTACATTGCCAGAGATGGCAGAACAATTACTACTTGCAGAATGGCGAGTCAAAAACACCAATAGTCAAACACCAACAGGGCTTGGAGACAAAATGATGGAGTAGCACATGAGTTCATCTATTCTTATGGAAGCACTAAAATCACAGCTAATTGGTAAACAATCATTGACAAAAAATGGTGGAACTTTCAAAGACAAAGAAGAAGTCACAATGAGATGGTAGGAGCAGTACGATCATGATAAAAATCAAATCCCATACACACTGGGTAGGCTACCCACAAACAGGAAAATAATTGTACCACAGAAATTCTCCCACAGGAGTGACAGTTCTGAGCCCCACATCAGCCTCCCCAGCCTGAGTGGGTCTGGCAATAGGAGGAAGAGCCGCTAGAGAATCTAATTTTGAAGGCCAGTGGAGTTTCACTGCAGAAATTCCACAGAACCGAGGGAAACATAAAATCCACTTTTGGAAGGTACACACAGGGTCTCTTGCATACCAGGGCCAAGAGAAAAAAGAGGTAATCTCATAAAAGACTGGACTAGATTTACCGGCTAGTATTGAAGGGTCTCCTGCAGGAGTTGGGGGAGAGGCTATATACAAGGGGGAAGGCAGTGGCTTGTATATATATGTACAAGAGTCATATATATTCTGTCTACAAGAAACCCACTTCAGATCTAGGGACACAAACAGAATGAAAGTGAGAGGATGGAAAAAAGTATTCCGTGAAGATGGAAAGCAAAGGAAAGTTGGAGGAGCAATAATTATATCAGACAAAATGACTTTAAAATGAAGACTGTTACAAGAGACAAAGAAGGACACTAATTAACGATCAAGAGTCAATTCAAGAAAAAGATATAACAATTGTAAATATATATGAACCCAACATAGGAACATCAAAATATAAGGTAAATACTAATCACCATAAAAGGAGAAATGGACAGTAACACAAAAATAGTTGGGGACTTTAACACCCCACTTTCATCAATGGAAAAATGATTTAGACAGTAAGGTAGGGAAAAATATTTGCATACCAATAATCACAAGGGATTAGTATTCAGAAGTAACTGATTATACCCCCATGAACTAATATGCAAAAGATAAAAATGCTTGAAAAATGGACAAAGTACTTAAATAGTCAAATCACAGAAAAGGAAACCTAAATGGCTAATAAACATCCAAAAAACACCTCAACCTCTATTAAAAAGATAAAGGGATATTATGCAATTGCCAGTGCATAACTATCAGAATGGCAGAAAACAGAAGATGGCTACTGAGAACACAGCACAAGGATAACATTTATACACTGCTGGTGGGAGTGTACATCTGTATTACTCTAAAGAGCATTCCGATAATTTCCAGAGAGTTGAGTGTCCATACTTTCATGACCTAGTGATTCCAAGTCTAAGTCTATGTAGCCTTAGGAACTTTTACATATATGCATATGAAATTAAATCCATCTAAGTTCATATCAGGATTGTTAGCAAGACAAAACTTTGAAAACGACTTGCACTTATCATATACCTCCTGGCTATTATTATGAGTCTCTCCTTGGATTACATGACATGGTTACACAGTTCTAACTTACTCCTTTGTAATCTGTGGTTTCCCTAGTGGCTCAGCTGCTAAAGAACCCATCTGTAATGTGGAGACCCAGGTTCAATCCCTCGATCAGGAAGATCCTGGAGAAGGAAATGGCAACCCACTCCAGTATTCTTGCCTGGAGAATTCCATGGACAGAGGAGGCTGGTGGGCTATAGTCCATGGGGGTTGCATAGAGTCAGCCACAACTGAGTGCCTAACACACACACACACACACACTTTGGAATTAAGAGTGACCATGTGACTTTCTATGGCAATAAAATCTGAACAGAAGGAACTTGGGTCAAGTCAGTTTTAAGAGACTGCATGATTCACCTCAGTGATTTTCCTCACCATAGTAACAGGACACTGCACATGGTGGAGGTCCTGTCAGGCTAGGCTCCACCCCAGCTGGGCAGTACAGGACGTGTAGTATAGGCAAAATTCAAGTAAATAAAAAGTAAATGTTTTCTCTCAGGCCACTGTGATGTGGATGTAGCCTACATCCTGATGAATACACAATTTAAAAGTTCATCAGTAAGTGAACTGATCACTAAGGTGTGGTATAGTCATACAATGGAACACTTTATAGCAGTGAATATGAATGAACCAGAGGAAAGAATGAACCACACAAAGGTAACGTTAGAAAAAAGAAAGCTGTAGAAGAACACATGTACTATGAAACAACACTACTTGCTCAGTTTTGTCCGACTCTTTGCGACCCCAAGGACTGTAGCCCGCCAGGCTTCTCTGCCCATGGACTTTCCAGGCAAGAATGCTGGAGTTTGTTGCCATTTCCTCCTCCAGGGGATCTTCCTGGCCCAGGAATTGAACCTGAGTCTCCTGCATTGGCAGGTGGATTCTTCACCACTGAGCCACCTGCGAAGCTCAGGAAATAATATTAGTAATAATCTATTTCTTCGGGTGGGTGATAAACATACTTGAGTAGGTTACTAATCTTTCTGTTAATATCATACTTTTTATGAAATATAAAGGTTTTTACTTAAGTAACAGAATTATATATTCTAAAAGCAAGCTGAGACTTTTTGTTAAGAATTTAGCTAGTCTTAAAAACTACAGATTTCCCTTTAGTCCTCTAATTATAGCACTGAATGACAACTTTGAAAACCAGAGTAAAAGATCCACGACAAAGGTGTTGGTTATTCACTCTCTATCCACTATCAGTCTCACATCTTACATCTTACCGGGGGAAAAAATCCTTGGAGAAACACATGCTAAGCTATTTACTTAGGGATATTTGTGGAGAGTAGTTGGCTGACAGAGCAAGAGAATTCAGTGAAAGGAAGTTGCTGCTTAATTTGGAGAAAAGTGTTCACATTGCAAAATTATTTCAGCTTCCTGCAACTCATGAAAAGAAAATGTTATCAATAACTCATGTCTCTCATTTTGTATCCTCTTCACAATTAGGACATTTTGACTTAGTGCTACTGGTCACACACTTGTATCACTTTCTAAAGTACAGAAAACAACTAATAAGCTTTGCTAAGATCTATGATATATATGGAAAAATAACAGTATAGGTCACTAAAGAAAAGGGCAACCGACAACGTCAAAGCTGCTTACTGATAACTCCTTTTTTCTAATTGTTTTAATAACACAGGAGTAGGACAAATCTTTTTCCAT